ACAAGTATAAAACTTATTATTTAATGCGCTAGACACACAGTTTTAAAAAACAATAGGTCTAGATTACTAAATAAACATTTTGATTGTACTTATTATAGTTAAATCTTAAGTCGCTAAGTTTTAATTTATGTAATTTTTATATCTTGTATATGTGAAATTAGGGTTTAAACCGTTTCGATGTTGGTTGCACAACCTTAGTTCGTGAATAAAATATTACCGTTCAGAGAACCTTGTGCCTTATTTAAATAATAATGTTTGCTCTTCGCGGAGACAAAAAATTCATTTTTGTAAGTAAACTAACACTTTCATTTTCATCCAGTCTGCCAAATAGAGTTAAAATATTCAACTTGATCAAAAATAAACAAAAAACAAGAAAAGAAACAAAAACAAACACAAAACAATAGCTGAAGTTATATACCCTTGTAGCTATTTAATAAAATTGTTCTTTAACACATCTTAATTTCGAATTATGTGCGTGTCTGTTTAAGAACATTGAAGCTATAACGATTTTCAGTTCAATTATCCGTTCGTTTGAGCGGTTTGATTTAAATAGAATTGAAAGCGAAATTCTGAGTTATTGAACCATTACTATGTCCAAAGGAATTAAAACAAGAACGCTATAGTCGAGTTTCCCGACTATTTTATACCAGTTACTCAGCTAACCAATTTCAAAATAGATATTCCACCAGAAAACCATCGGGTTGGCTGGCGACATTTGCCGAACTGCATTAACAACTCTACAAGAGCAGCCCCCCGCCCCCGCTACAACGGCACTATCTAATGCAGAGGAGCTGCACAGCACACATACACTAACAAGTTTCCCCGTGGAAATTACTTACACAAGTCCGGCTCTCTGCTGCTCTCGTCTCCTGCAGTGACTTCAGAGCAAATCAAAGTGCCAATAACTTCTAAAGTTTTAGCTCGATTTTTGTGTCATCCGAAAGCCTAAAATAAAGCCTAAGACCTACGGTCTAACCTGAGATTGTCAGTACATACTTTCACTATTTGTGGTCGTTAGAGTAGGCGTGCCTCCTTTTTGAATCTTCATGCCAAATCCTTAATTTGTTCACCCACAAAAAAAACATGACAATACTATATGTCCCTATTTAGGTGTCAATGTGACACTATTGAGTTGTAAAAAGTTCTTAATAAATAATCAAATTAACACCTATACATTGACATTTTCGAAATTGTTAATATGCACTTTGGCGTGTCAATATGCCATTATCCATTATCTTTTATTGGGTTCATTTTAGGGTCCATTTGACAATGTTTTTTTTTTAATATGGTACTGATGTGAGGAAGTTCTAGGATCATTTTAGGGTCTTAGAGTCGAAATGGTGCATTCCTTAATGAGTTGTAGTATCAATATGACCCCAAAATAATGGTCTTATAAATAAACAAGAAAGGAAGCAAACTTCGGCAAGCCGAAGTTCATATACCCTTGCAGCTTTTGCAAATATTAAATATTCTTGAAAATATAAAATTAGATGCACTTCAAGCTGTGATGATTGGCAGCTCAATTATTTAATAGTTCCTATGACAGCTACATGACGTTTTCCGATTTTAATAAAATTAAAAGCGTATTTTGAATTGTCAAATTATTAATTAATCAAAAAGAATTTCTAAAATAAAGTTACAAAATAAAAAAGTTAAATTAAAAAAAAAAAATTTTAATATTTTCACTGTTCCTATAGGAGCTATATGCTATAGTCGTCCGTTCCGACTTATATACTACCTGCAATAGAAAGACAACTTTTGGAAGAGTTTCATGCAGATATCTTTAAAACTGAGAGACAAGTTTGCGTAAAAACGGACGGACAGACTGACAGACGGACGGACAGACGGACATGGCTAGATCGACTCTCTTAGTGATGCTGATCAAGAATATATATACATTATTGGGTCGGAAACGTCTCCTTCACTGCGTTGCAAACTTCTGACTGAAATTATAATACCCTCTGCAAGGGTATAAAAATATGCATTTGTTTTATAATTGCAAGTTGGTTGTGCTTTCTTTTGTGCTTTTGTCATTTAAACTAATTTTTAATGATTTAATAATTACTATCAAATTATTCGCTCATATTAAACGGTAACAAAATCCAAGATAATTTATATATATTCTCCACATTCATTTTTTGTTCTGTGTTTCTATTCAGTTACTGAATTTAGATTCTAATAATTCATGTTCTTCTTTTGCAATTAAAACTTCTTTAATATATTTTGTTTAGACATATTCCACATATTTTCCGCTGCCGATTCGTTGGGCGGAAGAAGACGCAGGTGCTGTTTAGGATTTCTCAAAGAGGGTGGTTATTCAATTTAAACGGGATTAATAGTTGTGGTATCTGGCATTCACTTAGTTTATATGCTTAATAAAATTAATAGCTAATTAAAACTAATTCTCAAAAAAAAAAGTTCAAGTTAAATCAAAACAATAGGACTTCTCTTATGGGCGATCGGTATCGCCGACGTATGCCAGTGTAGGCGCTGGTTTGGAAGTATGTGTGCTTGCATCGTTTGTACTCCCTAGCGGACTTTATGCTGCTAGAAGCGCCAATCCCTCTTCACAGGTTTGCTGCGCCGATCTCCTTTAGGCCTGTTTATTTCAGCCCAGAAATAGTATTAGACGCAGGTACTCCCAAAAGGCTGTTGTACAAGTCTTCTGACTTCCTAGGTTAGGGCTCCACGTATCGGTATGCGTTTCACCAAGTTCCGGTCAGTTATCACTTATGCTCCGCTCTTAGTTTCGTATGCGGCGTTTACCAAAATGAGGTTGCAAGCTCCCAAGCCTATGTTCTTTCTGGCTTTTGGGGTACAGGTTATGCACGTGTCGATATTGCAGTTTAAATTTAATACTGTTGTCCAAATACTTGTAGTTGCTTGTCGTTCCCAAAAACAAGTGAGCGAGCATCTCTCCGCGTTGGTTTAAGGCAGCGCGAATTGAAAATTTCTAGATCCACAAGAAACGGGACTTTTCCCAAACACGCTCATTTTTCCTTCTTTACCTTTCGCACACCCATAGAGAGCGGGAGAGATCTAAGTGGGTGTGTGTGTGTGTGGACAATGCGACTCAGCAGGCATAACCGATTGGAAGTTTGAAAGTTTTGCCTACATTTCTGCCCGGGCCTATCCGAATTGACATGCGTAATACGTTTTGTTTATTGCTATTTCCCCGAACCCTACACCGGCGTCAGCAAAAAGAACGTAATTTATTTTCAAGATTTGGTAAGTCGCAACTGCATATATCAGGGACCGTAATCAATATAAGTTTTATAACAAACATTTTTTGGAAATAATTTCTATAAAAAGTATTATTTTAATAACGTTCATAAATATTATTTTGATCATTATTATTATTCCCGGCGTCAGTGTTTTTTTTTGGCCCAAATTTGTTTTTTATCCTTGAATTATTATTTCGATCATTAAAATTAAAATTCAAAATTAATCATTTTTAAAAAATTAAAATTAAATAACTTAAATATTGTTATTTTTTCCACTCGAAATTAAAACTCAAATGCGAGATCTACATCTGCATTTGGGCTATGAGCCATCTAAAACTCATATCTAAGAATTCGGTCTCACCGAACGAGCATAGCTTTTGCTCCTAACTAGGATTCGAAAAATATTTTATCATTTCCCCTTATCTTACTTTAAATTTTTTAATAGTTAAACCTTTGTTTATTGGGGACCATTTTGTAAATAGGGCGTGCAAAGTCTTCTTTTAAGAAATATAAATTTGGGAATGCTTTTACAGCTCTTGGTGCTCAGGGATGAGCCCAGGTAGATTGATAGTTAACAATGCGAATGGTCACACTAAAACGTTGAATTGCAAGCTCATCTGCAAGGTTATGTCTGTCAGCACCGTTGAATATCTGTTCTTGGAAATCCGAAGTGTCTTATTGGTTGTCTGTATATTGATTGACCTTACCTCCTACCTAAGCCTTCAATACAGAGATTTTAATTTAGCTGGAGATTTAAATAGCAATATGCTTAACGAACATAATTTTTCCGATATTATATGGTTCCGTGATTTGTTTCTAGTCAATTCTTTTCAAGCTACTCAGTTTAGTAACACAGCTGATACCTTGTTGGATGTATTCTTTGTAAACCGCTTTTTGGTAACTATCCAATTAAATATACTTAAAAATTCTGTTTAAACCAAATTTACAACAAACAGAGGACTGCAGATTTAGAAACAAAATTCAAATTAATTCCATTGAAGATATATTATTTAGTGATACCTTAAGACTGGAGATATTGTGTAAAAAAGATTTCAACCCTAACGTCATATTTTAAAGACATGGATAATGGCTCAAGAAGGGGACTTTTTTTAACCGTTAGAGTAGGCGATGTGCGTTTCGGTTATATCTATCGGTAGACAACAAAATTTTAAAATCCAGCTATTATTTAAGAAGCTATGGCACCTCTGGCGCCCCTCTCTCAACCACTGATCGGCCGATGTTCTGCCGCTGCTAGCAGAAGAATGAGATAACGAGAGAATAACAGAACTGTTAGCGGGGGTGGGGGTGCTGTACGCTCTTAGCTTTTAGGGTCGGCTATGTAGTTCGACCTAGACTCCGATTGTTTTGTGGGGGAACGTTTATTTTGAAATTTGTTAGTTGAGTAACAGGTATCTAACAGTCGGGAATATAGAAAAAATTATTTTTTTTGTTTCTTGGAAGATTTTGGTTCATGGCAAAAAATTTACATCTACACATTTTTTTGTTGATTTGAATCATTTTTTATAAAATAAATTCAAAATATTTGTATTATTTTTATGGCAAGCTTCCACATTTTTTCTGTTTATTTTATTTTAAATGTACACATCAGAAGATATTTAATAAAGAGTAGGTGAAATATCCTGAGCTTCTTCAAGGGAATTGTTGTTACTCCTGCAAAATTTCGTTTATTTTCAGTTGTAAGCAAAAAAAAATTTTTAAAACGTTTTTTTCATCTTATTTCTGAATAAATTGTTACAGATTTTACAAAATTTTCAGAACTTGCCAGGAAGGCGCCACTTTAAAAACAAGCCCCACCAGTATTAAAATTCCCGCCGTTACTACAACGACTCCCACCACTAATAAACAAACACCTAAGATAACCAAAACTACTACTAAGCCTACAAAAAAGTTCACAGAGCTTTTGGGATCACGGACAACTAAGATCACGACCACATTCTCCAAATTTTCTAGTCCGGTAAGTTCAAGTTTTTTATTATGTATATATGTGTACTCACAAAATTAATGTTTTCTGAAGCCAAACAAATTCTCACCCAAAATTGAGTACAGGTGACACAGAACAAGTTAAACAGTTGCCACTTCAAAATTTGTTTAGTATTAATCTTTATCAACTGCAAAAAAACTTTAAACCTTTGTATACTGATATATAAGTTAACTGTGGCCAGCAAAACCAAAGTTGTTGACCACAGTTTACGTAAACATCGCGCCGGCCAAACTGCTGACACAGCGTCTGGCCGGATGCTCGTGCATAGCCGGCAAGCACTGCCCATTGGAGTGGCCGCTATGAAGTTCAATTATGTTAGCTTTAAGTTTCAGTTCTGATTCAACTTTTGAATAATAAAGAGCCATCGCTCATAAATCTAACTCCGACCAACAGTCGTTAACTGCGTATAATTATTCACTGTCTGAGTCCATAGATCAGCAGGTAAGAGGGGCAGTCACCCCTCCAACGTAATCATCCTAATTCAACATTGGGACACCTTCGGCCAGCCGGCCAATAATCAACAGCGGACATACCGTTCGCCTGAGAGGAAGAAAAGGAACTTCCTGATACCGACGGCGACTCATCACCCACCGGATCAACAAATAAACTTACTGGCGCTCAACTAGTGGTAACAGATTACCCCACCGAATAAAGCTAAAGCTTGGAAACTAAAAGTGACGGCGGCGCGGGAAAAAACGTAGCTGCAAAACAACACAAAATTCACAAAATATGTAAGTGGGCCCTTCGGCCAAAACTTTTATGTCTTCAGTCAAAGTTATCTATATAATTCGGACCACTGTCTCAAGAAAAACAAGCATTTAATTCTGCCCATTTAATTCTTGTAACAACAAAAAAAAAAGTGGAAAATCAAATAAATAAATAAACGAGTGCGAAGTAAATTTTTGGAGAATTTCAGTATTTAGAATTTTATAATTTACAATTTGACAGCAGCAGATAAACTAAAAGGAAATACGACCCCCAAAGTCTTTCGACTTTGTCTTTATTTATGCAGCGCTTTTGCTTACGTGCACGGATTCCTGTGCAGTTAAATTCGACTACCCATGAGTGATCCGCTTCTCCAATATAGGAACAGAAAACAATACTCAAGCGACTCAGAGTCCGAGAGTATAGGGCAAGTCCACGCCCCAACCCCAAGACGCAAGCCCCCCGTCCCTCCTACAGACGTCATGGATCCCGAGCAACTTAGGTCCGTTATACAGGCAGCTATTAATAATGCCCTAACAGAACAGGCCGTTCAGAACCACATAAGAGAGAAGGGGTTAAGACAACAAATCGAAGAGTTGGCTGGCAGGGTGGCAGCAATAAATACTTCACCAGCAACGGCCGCAGAAGTGAAAACATACACGGCTATTCAAATAGATGATAATATACAATGAAGCGAACCTTTAGATGCTATAAAATGCTTGCCCGAATTTGCGGGTGCACAGGAAACATACGTCTCCTGGCGACAGGCGGCCACGGCCGCTTACCATATTTTTAGACGGTATGATGGTAGCTCGCGCCACTACCAGGCGGTTATCATCATTAGAAGTAAGATTAGGGGCCCTGCCGACGCCGTGCTGTCCTCATTCGGCAAGGTACTAAATTTCGACGCGATAATAAGTCGTCTTGACTTCACGTTCAGTGACAAGCGACCAATGCATGTCATTGAACAAGAGCTGGGAACCCTAAGACAGGGTGGCATGACCCTTCTACAGTATTACGATGAGGTTGAGAAAAAACTCACCTTATTGACAAACAAAGTCAATATGTCGTATGATACGTCAATGGCAACAATTTTGTGCGCCAAATTCCGCGACGACGCTTTATGCGTGTTCATTTCAGGCCTCAAGCGAAACCTCACGGATGTGCTCTTCTCGGCAAAGCCGAAAGACATGCCATCGGCCTTGGCCCTGGCACAAGAAGTGGAATCGAACCACGAAAGGTATATTTTCGCAACTACGTTTGCAAGAAGCCAGGAGGACAAAGATCGTCGGCAAAATCCAAAGCCACAAGATTGTCAACAGGACAAGCCCTTCCCGCAGCCTAATCAACAGTTTGGTGCCGGTAAAAACCCGCACTTTAGCAAGCCACATAAGGCCTAAGTGCATTTTGTACCGCAAAATAATACTCCAGAGCCAATGGTTGTTGACTCATCCGTTTCTAGAATTGTACAACCGACCCAAGCACAGGCTTACCAAAACGGGAGACCGGCTACGTCCGGCCGTTCAGGCCCTATTAAAAGACAAAGAGTTAATCATGTCACTCAAAGCGGCGAGCAGGTCGACAAAAATTATTCTATCGCAGCCTCCAGTGCAGCGGCAAAAGTAATTGACGATGCCGTTGAAGATTATGATTCAGATGCCATCAATTTTTTAGGGGAAAATCCCTGCTACCCGTCCTCAGACGAAGAGTAGCGGGGGCTTCCATGAAATTCCTCATAGACACGGGCGCGTCTATAAACTTTATTAGACCTTACAAGGGGCTAAAAGGCGTCCACCCGGTAGAAGCCCCTTTCAATATTCATTCAAATAACACAGAAATGCCTTGTCTCAATTTTCAATATAAAAGCAACATTCTTTATTCTATCGGACCTATCAACGTTCGATGGGATAATCGACCTCGACCTGTTAGCACAGGCTGGAGCATCGCTTTGCTTAAAATCTGGGAGTCTTAAGTGGGGTACGGAAGTCGAAGAAATTTCCTTCCATACCTGTGCTGATGTCAATTTTACTAACGTAGATTGCTCTGATGCACCCCCTCTGATCAAAGATGCCTTTATAAAAATGCTTAAAAGCAGAAAAAGGGCATTTGCAGACCCCAATGAGGCACTACCATATAACACTTTGGTAGTATCCACAATAAGAACAATGGATGAAGAACCTATTTATGCAAAACTGTATCCGTACCCCATGGAGGCGGCCGATTTTGTTAACAAGGAAATCCAAAATCTATTGGACAACGGCATAATCCAAAAATCAGTGTCTCCGTACAACAACCCAATATGGGTAGTGGACAAGAAGGGCACTGATGAAATGGGCAACAAAAACATGCGACTAGTAATTGACTTTCGCAAGCTAAATGAAAGAACGGTACCTGACAAGTACCCCATGCCAAATATCTCCATGATATTGGGAAACCTAGGCAAGGCCAAATATTTTACAACTTTGGACCTTAAGTCAGGATACCACCAGATCATACTCGCAGAGCGTGATCGCGAAAAAACTTCCTTTTCGGTAAACGGAGGGAAATATGAATTTCGCAGACTCCCTTTTGGTCTGAAAAATGCTGCCAGCATTTTTCAAAGGACAATCGACGATATTTTGCGAGAGTAAATCGGCAAATTTTGTCACGTATACGTGGATGATGTGATTATTTTTTCTGAAAATGAAGAATCACATGTCACACACGTAGAGTGGGTTCTAAAGAACCTCTACGAAGCAAACATGAGGGTGTCTGTAGAAAAATCACGCTTCTTTAAAAAGAGCGTAAACTCTTCCCGGAACCAAAATCCGTGTTTGAAGTCAGATCATTCCTTGGCCTGGCGAGCTACTACAGATGTTTCATAAAGGACTTTGCAGCAATAGCAAGACCCATTTCGGAAATCTTGAAAGGGGAAAACGGAACGGTTAGTAGACATAGGTCACGAAACATTCCGGTCCAGTTCTCTGAGGCGCAGCAACAAGCGTTTCAGAAGCTGCGAAATATCTTGGCATCTGAAGACGTCATGCTAAGATACCTCGATTTTAAAAAAGCATTTGATCTAACGACAGATGCATTGGCCTATGGCATTGGCGCGGTAATGTCCCAAGAGGGTCGTCCTATCACAATGATCTCAAGGACATTGAAGGACAGGGAAAGAAATTATGCTACAAATGAAAGGGAATTGTTAGCTATTATTTGGGCATTAGCCAAATTACGGCACTATCTGTACGCAGTAAAAGACATAAATATCTTTACTGATCATCAGCCCTTGACCTTTGCGGTCTCGGAGTCAAATCCTAACGCTAAAATCAAGAGGTGGAAGGCGCGCATCGATGAGTCAGGTGGGCGTATTTTTTATAAGCCTGGCAAAGAGAACTTGGTCGCGGACGCGCTGTCCAGACAACAACTCAGTGCCATGGATGAGCAGGAAGCTGAATCATTCGAACTCTCCCTGACCCACACCATTGATTCTACGGACAAACCACTGAATTGCTTCCAGAACCAATTGGTTCTCGAAGAGGCGCGCTCCACGTTGAAACGCATCTTCATACTGTTTGGGAACAAAAGTCGTCACTTAGTTAGCTTCTCTTGCAAAGAATCATTGCTCAGAGAAATCGCAGATATTATCGTTCCTAATGGCGTAAACGCCATCCATTGTGACCTACACACGTTGGCCATGATGCAGGACCAGCTGGTTCGACAATTTCCAGCAACAAAATTCTGGCACTGCAAAAACCGAGTAACAGACATTTTTGCAGTTGATGAGAGGCGACAAATTATCACAGCTGAGCATAATAGGGCCCATAGATCGGCCCAGGAAAATGTGAAGCAAATGCTCTCCGAGTACTACTTCCCGAAGATGGCAAAATTGGCCAGCGAAATCGTCTCAAACTGTAAGACATGCGCGAGAGCCAAATACGACAGACATCCAAAAAAACAGGAGTTGGGTGAGACACCAATCCCCTCTCATATTGGAGAAATATTGCACATAGACATATACTCCACCGACAGGAAATATTTTCTCACTTGCATCGACAAATTTTCGAAATTTGCTGTCGTGCAACACGTCCACTCAAGGACCATTGAGGATCTTAAACCAGCTTTACTTCAGCTGATGAATTTATTTTCCAAAAGCTGGAGTAAGCTAGCTAGAGACAACGGACCGTCGTTGAAGTCGCAGACAATCTCTACCTTGCTCAGTAATCATTTTGGCTTTAACATTGCAAATGCACCGCCTCTACATAGTGTTTCAAACGGGCATTTAGAGC